TGCGGTGCTCAAGTTGACGCTTGGCGAAGAACAGGTCCAAGTCTTTTTTCCTTAGAGAGGCATTTTTTCAAGAAGGCGGGCGTTGATCAGTCGTTGTTTGGCTCTCGTGACGACCTGCAAGCCCTCAGGGGTCGGGACAGGTCGTTTTAAGCGCAGGCTTTGAGGAACGACTTTCCTTTCTTTGCAGGTGCGGCTGAAGTTGAGATGAGTCTTGAAGACTGAGATGCTTTCCTTAATGCGTATGTAGCACTTTACGAGCTGCATTGTATGGTGTCCAAAGTCTTGACTGATTGACTCGAATGTAAACATTTGACAGAAGTCTGTCTGGTTGGGTATGAAACTGAGAGATGATATGGGCTCCAACCAAAAGTTTTTAAGAGACCTGACGTTTCGGAACCGACTTGGTTCCTTCTTCAGGGGTGACTGCGTAGGCTACGTAGCAGCAGCGTCTTCAAAGCACTCGCGGGGTGGCTAATAACCCCCCCCCCCCCTCTCTCTCTCTCGTTTTGCCGTGGAGCGCAGTCCGTGTGAATACACTGGGGGAAGGGTTCCGAGAGAGCGGTTGATAATACCGGCTGTTCCCTGAATGTGCCACGACTCGAGTAACAACCTTCTCCTCCAGTTCAGCTCGCTTTCGAGGATGGCCGTCGCTTCGAAATTTATCTTGTGGTCCAATGTCTCCACATGTTCGGCGACTGCGCTGCGCTCTTTGTAGAACTTCTGCACATCGTTGGCGTGTTGCTTCAGTTGTTCTGGTAGGTTTTTCGTCTCACCGATATATGACGTGGGGCGCTCGGCGCACGGAATTTCGTAAACGACACCGGGGCTCCTGTCCATTGTTGGCCAGTCTTTCGGGCGGGGGAGGAGGCAGCTACATGGAAAGCCGAGACTTGTCCATGCGTATGAGTGCTATCACACTGAAAAAACCACGTATTCAAAGAAAAAAAAAAGAGAAAAAGCACTCAAGGTCAGGGGGCGTACGTGACTTTTTTTCTTTCCCCATGCTATCCCTCTCTGCTTAGCTTCCAGTGCTTTCGTCAGGAAAAGAGAAGAGAGAATGCAATTGCAGCATGCAACATATCTTTTTAACTCCACTCGTACAGGACGGATTCTAAATATTTTTGTGGCAGTGAATTCGTGCAACAATAATCTTCTTAGTGAATCCATTGTGTGGCTACTTGAAACAGTGTTGCATTGCCCTTCTAAATAAACATACCATATTTACTCCATTCCACCGCGCCGGTAGCCGTTGCTGTGCCGCAAGTTTAGGACGAACCTCTGAAAACTGTGAAGCTTTTCTTCGTACTCCTCCAGCAACTTTTGGCATATGCCCGTTCACCTTCGGAGGGAAAAGCCTTTCTTCTTCATAAAGTTAGTTAGCCAGCACCTGCTCACTTTAAACTGGCTCCGCGTTAAGACCTTTTTCTAAAACTAATTGCATAGCCCACACTTGGAGCAGCTCTGTCGTCACGGGCCGCTGTGCCGCTCGCTGCTCAAGCACATACTCGCCGAGCAGTTCTTCAATTTGCGGAAACCTACCCTGCTATGGTCTACTGAAGCCTTTGCGTGAAGCTTTACTGTCGACAATCTTCTGCTTTTGTTTCCGCCAGTCCCGCAAGCACGTTTCGGGAACTCCGAACGACCGCGATGCGGCCCAATTTTCATCCGTTTCTGCACACGCGATGACTTTTATTTTAAAAGTGGCATTGTGGTGCACTAGAGTTTTTGGAGCCGGCCCTCGCGTGCCGTCGATGCTAATGCACTACAAGAAAACAAACTCCTCAGCACACGTACGAAGTGCTGCACATGGGAAACACATAGGCAGAAATGGCTGACGCGCCATGCTGACGCACGTAGTGGGCGGCCATTTTCGAAATGCCGATGGCAATAGAATGGCCGTATTCATTTTTTTTCGTACTTGATTCTAACGCGCATGCGATTTATGAACTCGCTTAACCGGGAAAAAGATGCGCGTTAGATTAGAGTAATTACGGTATTATCCATAGATCACTTCACAGGAGTGGAAGTGGACTTCAGTATTTTGGAGCAGCTCAGGAAGGAATAATGCTGTTTTGGAGCAGCTTTGGCACAGTAAAAGAAGAGTTACTTGAAGCAGCTTTCTAAAGTCAAACGTCATCATCAATCAACATTATTGCTGGTGAAAAAAAAAAATTCCAATAACATTCACTAAACATTCAGTATTAATGAGGTTACCAAACTTACCACCTGCGTGCACGTGTGAGTGCATGCGTGTGTGAGAGAGAGATACAAAACATGCCCATTTTATACTCAACCTGAAAGAAAAAAAAATATATTCTGGGTGGTAGATACACAGAACTATTTCTTTACGCGGACGTATCTACAACAAGGAATCTCGCTATATATAGCCTTCGCAGTGTTGTACCTGATGTGTGAAACGGAGTAGAGATAATCGTGGTGCACTTCACTTGGCGGAAGTTTGTTATCATGATGCTAATTGAACGCACTACACTCTTCATCTGTGCTCAGTCTGAAGCCAAGTGGGGACCAGTCACTCACACAGCGAATCCGTGTGCACGGTACAGCAAACCGCCCGACAGCGTAGGTGACAAACTGCACGCAACTAGCCAGGAGATCTGAGTGCACGAGACTGGTCCGTGTTTCAATGAAACTGTCAGTTGTCACTCAATATCATCGCAGTAGAGAAGCACACATAAGTATCGCAGAAAACCGATAGTGTTCGTTCTGTCGCTATTTCAATCGCTGCGTATCCCGGACACTGTAATAGTTTTGAAATGCTCCTTATTTGGCGTCACCACTGCACGTGATAAAATATTTATGGGAGAGTGCCAGCCCCGTATGATCTTTTCTGCACTCTGGAAAAAAGGAAAAACAGACTTTCTGGTAGACACTTTGAGCGCCATATGCTGTCATACTGTATTCATTTATCGATGGTGATGGGGCACCTCAGTAGATGCACTATCGAACTTGTAAACTCAGACTGCCCTTTCGCGCTTGATTGTGCCATGTTCCTGGCTGGTACAAACCATCGAGGTTTCAATGTACTACTTACTCCTGTTGGTGCCACCACTTTTGCGGGGAAATTACAGCAATAACATCAATGAGAGCCACACGAATGAGCCGAATTACAACGTAATCAAAGTCCATTGAATATGAATTCGGCCATGTGCTTGGTGCAGCCAACGCTCAGTGCTGCTCGGTCAATGGTAATAATCGGCTAGATTTGACGGTTTACACTTCCAATTGACAATTATCGCGGAAATGGTCATTTATACGCAGCCTGGAGCAACAGGTCAGATTGGTGCAGAATGGCGCAAGTCGCGCAGCACTTACACCTCTGCTTCATCATATTTTGAAGTTAAGAAGCTTGTTATGCTGACTTATATGATCTAAGTATAATAAATTTCAAAACGTTAAGTATTTTTCAGGTTATCACTTTCATCCTCCCGAAAGTCGTATCCTGCTACTATGCAAAGTTGTTTAAACTTCCTTTGAAAGAAAAAAAAAAAGGCATTTGCATAACAGCTTTATTTCATTAAAAAAATATTGTGCACCTTAGTTCAGTCATGATAAATATGCTTATTTCTCTTCGTATGTCGTATATGCTATTCAAATTCGATTCGAAACTGTTTGACCAAAATGACTATTTGGTTCGAATTCGCTTCAAACCTAGAATCTACTATTCGCACAAGCCTACTTTTTATGCTTCTTAAAATTGTACATTCCCCCAGAATTTTTAAATGTCAAATAAAATTCGTTTGTGTGTGACGGTAACAAAGAAATGACTCACTACACGCTCTTTCATTGCCAAATCGTCTATTTCGCGGCAAGGAACGCCTGGAAACCGTACGAGTAGGTGTGTGTGAAAATTAAAACTTTCGAATAATGAATCAAATAACTACCTATTCAATTTTCTACTCAAATAGAATAGTACACATTCGAAATACTACAAAGTGTTCCAATAGTTTTCAAACAGATTTCCAATAATCAGCACCGAAGGGAGAACACGAAAACAAAGAAGCTTTGCAACTGCTACACACCATGTTTCTCCTTCCCATCACCGAGTTACCGATATGCAAACAGCCTCAGTTCTTATGAGACTGCCAACACTACTTTTGTTAACAGAAGAAGATGTTTTACCTAAACACTGCACTCTAACTCAGACTTGACCATGCTGCAGCAGCATCGCATTACATTTTTTGTACGCACCTTCTAAGTGAGTTCGAGACCACTACTGCATTCAGCTTTATGAATAACAGAAGAACGAATTATGTTTTCATAAATTTCTCCTTCACATAACAATTTCAACACCGATGTTTACAAGCTTTTTACGTTTCCAAATTGTTTTGTTTTTCATCTCAATTTCGTTCAATGAGGGCAACAATCGACTACTGTAGTCCCTGCATAAACGAGTTCAGTTATCAAAACTGAGGTACTTCAAATAGACCAAAAACAGTTTTTTCTTCTTGCATTTGCTCCACATGGCAAATACTTTTTTTTTTATTTAATTAGAAGTGCTGTGAAGTGTCAGGGCTTTCTTAAAAATGTTACTCTAATTACTCGAAAACTATACCAATCTTATTAGTTTTTTCTTTACGTTTGATTCGGTATCATCACAATTCAATTCATATTCGATTCAGTTTCAAAATGCATTATTCACACACCCCTACAAAAAAAAAAAAAAAAAACAGGTATGGCACAAGGAGTATGGGGACGACTAGAAGAAACAAACTGACAGATACGGGCGCCCGTGTCTGTAAGTTCGTTTCTTCACTGCATTCCTGAACTCTTTGTGCCATGCCTGTTTTTTCAAAGTATAAACCAAATAGCTCAACAACAACAAGCCCTGTTGATCCTCCAGATGAGTCTTCGAGGTTTCTGGGCTCTCAGTGAACGAGGCAAATCAACGTCAAGTCTACCCAGTATTATCCAGCAGTGCTGGTTTTTCCTCTAGGTAAGTGCAGGGCCTGCTTCAACAAACACTTGGCTCACACACACACCTGAGATGGTGAAAAGGGCAGCGGCTTGCGAGGTGTCACCAAGTCAGGACGCCAACGTGTCCCGGGGGCTTCGCGCAGAGCTGGACGGAAACCAGGCTCCTCAGACACTGGTCGCAGGGAAACCTGCATCAACAGGGCAGTAAAATGAGAAAGGCAGCTTCTTGGTGCCAAGCCTGTTTTCTTGTGTCCCTTTTTCCGTTTTTTTGTCTCTTCCTTTACCTAGTTATTTCATTGAAGCTTGTAGTGCATGCTCGAGACAAAACAAGTTACATTGTCTAACAAAGGCAATACTTGTTTTTACCTAGTGTATGCGCTAGATTAGTCGAACCGCGCTACAATGTACGCCGCTTCAATGAAGTTTCCACTACAACAAAAAATTCTCATTTCCCCCTCAGCGGTCCATAGGAGTCGATGCATAAATATTCTCGCCGCAGTGAACACTTTTTGTTCTGGCGTCCCGCTTCAATAAAATTTGACAATGCAATTCCAGGCTCAGATATTTAATGCTATGTAGTAAACACAATCCTTAACATTTTGATGCATTTTTAGAGCTTGGAAATACGTCGACCAAGTCTAAAACTAGCATTGGCACCACCAGAAACCGCCGCTGTTTACCACGAATGGGACTGCCCTGCCATTGGCCCTGCTTTTGCCACTGGCTTGTGCTGAGTCACAGACGATCCGAGTCTGAAGCTCAGTCACCCAGTTCAAGTTTCCTTCATGCAGCTGCTGGGTGCAATCGCGGAATGATGCCTTTTCCGATGTCGATGCCTATCATTCTGTTCGCGCTTGCCCAGTTTGATAACTAATCAGAGTGGCTGTTCGTCCGCATTATCAACAAAATCAACCAGCCGCGAGTGATAGATGATAAGATTAGCATAAAATAAGGCAAAAGTCACCGCTCCACGATACCTGGCCTACATCTTAGCGGTGTCGGATACACTTTGACAGCGCACAGCTGCTGGTGTTAATGTGTTAATGCAACTTTATATTCGTTTACGAAAGCAGTTGTGGGCATGGTTTCAGCGTGTTTTTAACCATGGCGTCGCTATGCATGAGTGAGAATCGCGTTGTGATGCTGCTGGCAATAAATAGGAAGCAGCCCACACTTTTTGAATTTTGTGAATAAAAGTTATATTGTTTTGCTAGCTCAGATCAGCCATATTTTTTCGATTTGACTACAGCAAAATTTTTTCCGCGCCCTGTCAGTTTCGTTGTAGCAGGGTTCGGCTGTGCCAACATACCCAAATCTATGCGAGTTCTAGTACTTTGATGATGATGATCTGGGGGGTTTAACGTCTCAAAACCACCATATAATTATGAGAAACGCCAATGTAGAGGGCTCTGAAAATTTCGACCACCTGGGGTTTTTTAATGAGTTCTAATACTTTCTCTTTCTGCTTTTATCATTTTTTTCCCCTTTTTTCCTCTGTTTCGTGCTTGGTTTTCTTTTTTTTTTTATTGCTATATGGCTTTTTCATGGGTTACACCAAGCACAATAGCTGTTTTTTTTTTCTTTTGCTGATGATGATAAGTGATCACGGTGATCAAATAACAAGATGACGCACTTAATATGCTACATACGGAGTGCCAAGCAATGACAACAGCATACTACAGAATAAAACAGCCCATGACAGTCCGGCACTCTAACGTGCTCCGCACTTCAGGGTTTTTACAAGCTCACTGATGTGTGATTGGGTTGAAGCCATTGGAGCAGGTTCTCGGAGAAGCACACACTCTGTAAATAACAAGACAATGAGTCTTTTGGTGAATTTTCATTCACTTCTTTGGTCATGTTCACTAATGCTGGAGCCCCAATGATTCTGACATTTTTACGATGACTGAGAATAAAGCTAATTATTAACACCCCTCCAGCCTGCATAGGATTAGAGCTCCTTTGCTAGTGGCTAATAAAATTGAATTCAATAACCTCAACTCATGCTATTTAATTACTGAAAGTTTTGAAATACAGTCAAACCCCTTTATGAGAGACACTGACATAAAAGACAAACGGGTATAAGATACACCAGTGTGTCTACAGTAAAATACCAAGAAAATGCATACAAGGTACCCTGCTTATAAGAGACATCTCGTATGAAAGAGAAGCACTGTCGTCCGGAAGATGCCTTTCATAAAGGAGTTTGACTAATATCAGCAAGGGTGGAAGCAAGTTTCAGTATTTTGGAGCAGGTCAGGGAGCAGGAATAATGCCATATTGGAGCAGCTTTGGAACGGTGAAAGGGGTATTTTGGAGCAGCTTGCGATCATAAAAATGTGGGCTTTGTAACTATGGAAGTTAGTTTTGGAGCAATTTCCTAGGCCAAACATATTTGTTCACTAAAATTGGTACTTCGTGAAGACACAGAAAACTCCAATAACGGTATATGCTACCGTGATCATCACAGCTTATGAAACAATAACCAAGAAAAAGCAAGAGATAAAAAATGCTTTGCATAGCTACTTTTGACTACTGTAAAATTCAGAGCATGCACCCCCTTCATCTTCAGTGCTAATTTTGCATCTTCCCACCGCCCTTTTTTCGTACCCCGATCGTGAACCTGTACATGCAACAGTAGCCTAAGTGAATCCCATTCAATCGTACTTAGCAAGCTGAATTCTAAGTGCTTGCGAATGAAATTTCTTGCCAGAATATTTTATTTCCACATAATGATTGCATCGTGAACTTTGTGCAAGACAGCCATGACAATTTTCAGGGTTTAGTGAGCCGAAGCATGGCCTTCGAGGTCTGCATTTCAAGATGATAGCTATGATGACGTGGGCCAAAATAAGACCTCGAAGATCTGCACTTTTTTTTTTCTTCAAGCCCCTTGCAATCACGTTTGTAGTGGTTCCGGGTCATTTTTGTTCCTGTAATGGGTCATGCCATAAAGGACAGCGAGAATAAATATGCTGTGTTGTTTTGGTCATTTGGTTTCCCACTGCGCAGAGTGTAAGTGCACAGTGATGTTTCCTGACACAAAAGCAGTGATGTGATTGGCTGAGGCCATTTTTGAGCAGGTTTTCATAACGGCAAAAAGCACCTTAAGGAGCAGGAAAATGGCTTTTGGAGTGGCCGAAAAAGTATTTAGGAGAAGAGAAAAAAGATTTTGGAGTTGCCAAAAGTATATTTCGGAGTGAGAAAAAAAAGAAAGGCTTGAAGCAGAGAATACAGCTGTTGGACACACTAAAGAGTCATTGCCAAATGGAAAACCTGAATTAGTGACAACTAAAACAGCTGAAAAAAGGGTAACTACGATGAATTCCATAACATTTCAAGCACGCACAGCTCGGACTACTTAAAGCTTAACTGCGTATAGTGCAGGACCGGCTATAGAGCAGACTTCCCATACAACAGTTTATAATCCCATAAAACTCCATGTATACGCATCTTGCGCAGTGCCCAAGATGGAAGACCGGTTGTAATGCAGCTTATAATGCGGATGACTGTGCTTCTCAATGGAGGTATGCCGGCAGGGGAGAGACAGCAATGAAGGCACCATGAAGAAGGGGTGGAGGCGGAACAAACGAGTTGGACTGCATCATGAAGTTCAACTGGGCGCGGTGACTGCGCGGACAATCTTTATTGGTGGGTGTGAATTGGTGGCGGTGGCTGCATCTCGGGGCACGCAAGAGCAGCCGTGATATGGCGTTCTCTAGCTGCCATAGTTGTGAAAAGCAACAGCGGGAAAGCGCTTTCCTAATCTTTTTTTTTCTATTTACTTTTTCATTACTATCGAGATGGTTTTTTTTTTTTTTCTTCTGGACACCAAACCTTTCGTTTAGCTTCTCTCTTTACTCATTCGCTACTGCACCTATTACTCAAATTGTTCAATTTGAACGATGCACTTCAAGTTTAAATTTTTGCGTGCTCTCAGAGTTTTGCCGGCACTTAACGCCATCTAGGCAAGGCAGTAGGAAACTCACTAGATCTGCGATGTTTTGGCTACTCTTTTGCTTTAAGAAAGTTTCCCCTCTCGCTTGAAGTTTCGGATCGTTGTGGTGCGAGCGTGCCGGTCATGACGTCGTTTTTTTGTGTGGACATTCCTGAAAGACGTGTTTCTCACAAAGCTAGCACGCCAACAGCAGATTTTGAAGACAAAATCAGCAGTAGTGAGCGCAGAGACAGGGTGTCTACCAATTTACTCTTTCAAAATTCCCTGACTTTTCCAAGTTTCTCATGACGATTTGAAGCTAATTCCATGACCCTTATGTCTGCTTGGAAAACTCTGTGCACTGGAAACAGACCCTTGAGTGATAAAAAAAAAAATCAGGAGCTCCTAACCACAAGTGCTGAGCACATGCAGTAACACACACACACACACACACACACACACACACACACACACACACACACACACACATATATATATATATATATATATATATATATATATATATATATATATATATATATATATATATATATATATTATAATAAAGAACTGTGACAGTCAGAACTGTTAATTGAAACTAGGACTAGGTAGGAGCGTAGGCCTAGCCAGCGAAAACAGCGATAACGTCCGGCGCGAGAGTCTCGTGCTTACCACTGACGATGTGTTTTCCGAGCTATGCATGACCCAGTACACTCATCATTACATATTTCCCCCTTGCTGAAGACGGAGCCAAGTAGGTGTTCTAAGGTGTCCTGAGAACAAGTGGTTCGTGATACGGTTTGAGACGATCCACGTGTACGATTTCGCGTCCTCGGCGACGCAGGTCCGGAGCAGGCGTGAGGGGTTCGATGAGGTAGTTGACAGCGGAAGTTTTCTTTATGACGCGATAAGGCCCATGGTATCTGCTGACGAACTTTGTAGATGTACCAGGAGCAGCGGCGGGAGGCACCCACAGCGAAACAAGAGAGTTGGGCGAAAAATGGTAGTGGGACCATCCATCGTCGTGACGAAATTTTTGTAGCCCTTGTTCTTGTGTTGTAAGGGCGCAAGCTAATTGTCGACACTCTTCCGCATACCGAGCGGCTTCGGAAACTGGTGTTCCTTCGGATGTGTCGGGTCTGTAAGAGGAGAATAGTGTCGATTGGAGATGATGGCTCTCGACCATAGAGTAAAAATAAGGGAGAAAAGCCTGTCGTCGCTTGAGGTGCCGTGTTGTAAGCGTATGTTACG